AGCTGAAAATAACAAACAAAAATATTAGCCACCAACAAAAATGTAAATTATTGCCTAAATATTAACAAAATAAAAATGATTTTTACCTTATGAACAAATTTGTCTTATATTTAAGTTTTGTAATTTTTTTTCTGATATGAGTTAAATATTGCCATCACACAAACTTTATTGTTTTGCAATTCAAATTGCAATTATAAACCTAGAAAACCTAGAAAAATAAACTAAACATATCTCAGACTTATACAAAAGCATTGAAGAATGTTGCAAAATTAGTTCCGTTTGTATAAGTTTACAATAAAAATCGAAAACTAGGCCTTTTTTACATTTGTTACCTTATTATTCAAAAAATACTATAAGCAGTCCCCAAAAGTTTCTAAAAGATGTTATATAATTTAACTTCGTTCAAAAAATTCAAAAAGTTCAAATGATTTGCTATTTTAATATATAAATATACAATTAGTAACAGTAAATAAAGCTTGTGGGTACAATGAAGTAAATATAAATAAACTTTATTCTGAAAATTTATCAATACTAAGTGGTACTATATAATTGACAGTGCTGTCAATTATATAGCAACTAAGTTTAACAAATAATGATCTTCCTAAACTCTGGAAAAAAAAGACAGACTCGTAATAGAACATGTCATTATACCACAACATAAATAAATAATAACACATTTGTCTATGTATATATTTAACTTAATTGATTGTAAATAATTTTAAATTTATTATTTGGGTATTGTATATTATAATTTTACCTGACATGAGCCATTGTCATAATTTCATTGAACTTAAGATTTCATAAAGGATCGTATCTTGAAATACACTGCAATTATAATCTAAAAAATTTTTTAAATATTAATTAATATTAAAATATCATTTTTCAATATATACAGCCAGATAAAAATATATAGAACACTAAAGATTTTTTAAATTCATATATATATATATATATATATATATATATATATATATATATATATATATATATATATATATATATATATATATATATATATATATATATATATATATATATATTCTTATGACATTAGACCCTATATCATTAGAAGATGTATTTAACATTTAACTTAAAAATTAAACAAAATCAACGCTTAAATAACACTTGAATACAAAAAAAACATTAAATAAAAATTAAATAAAATCATCTAGTCTCGAGGAAACATCATTCTTTGCATTAAATTTTTTTTACAAAATGCTGCTCTTGATAATTTCTTTAAGTCACCAAGTATTCTGAGCTACTACTTGAAAAGGATATTGTATTATTATTTTTATAGCTGATATCATAAGCTAAATGATTCAAACAATGAAAGTTATAAATTAATTAATAGATGATCTGAGTAGAACACTCTGACATTGTTCTCAAAGCAACAAAGAAGTTCATGAACATAACCTTATTGAGTCAATTAATCTTTTCTGTACAGTTTATGTTCAGTATAAGCTACACTTAAATCAACAATTAAAAAATGGATGTATTTTTCTTTACTGAGTATATGATTTAAAACCACTTGCCCACAATATAAAAGAAAAGTTAACAATATAAAAGAAAAATATATATTTTAGACTTAGCTTTACAAAATGGTTTACAATTAAATTCTATATAAATGTACTTGTTTAAGGAACATAAATAAACAGGTAATTAATTTGCCCAGATGACAATCAAAGAAGTAGCCCTTTTCCCAGATAAAATGTATATTTTTAGAACAAGCATAGTCCCCACCTTGAATTTCATTGCGAGGGAACTGCTGCACCATATCTACCTTAAGTGACTCCAAGACACTGATATCCTTGTGATGATTTTCTGATTTATTTTCTGTCTTAATGTTTTAGCAATGAATACCAGTGGGCATAAAAATTTATTAAACCATTATAGGTTTATTCCACTATACAACCACATCTATAATGACCATTTTATAATTAAATAATTATAAAAAATAAGATTAAATAAGAGCTTTAGCTGGTGCATCACAAATTAAAATATTTTACCTTTTACTTGTATGACTTTTCCATTATTATAAATAATGTCTTTTGCAATGAGGGGTCTTCCATAATTATGGATGCAGGTAGTGGGGGAGGAGTTTACCCAAAAAGTTATGAATGCGTACAAGAGAGAGAGAGAGCAAGAGAGAGAGAGGGGTTAAAGACACCAAGTATGTACATGGTGTGACTAATTCTCATTCTCTATCTATTTGAAAACTTGATTTTTTTATTAACAAAAGCATAGAATTATTTGAGTTTAAAAAATTATTATTCTGTTAAGTAACAAAATGATTAATTATGTTATGAGTGATGTCTAAATAATTTTCAAAAAGTTTTTTTGACCACTCATATCATTTGTTTTTAATTCTTTGAAAAAATTATGCGTTGGAAAAAGGTCGGCAGAAAGGGGTTGATTGTGTGATAAGAGATATGCATGCAGTGAAAGGAGAAGGGAGCATAAAAAGTATACAGGTGTGTACAATGGGAAGGGGTTCCTTAATCAGTGGTTTTACTGCATACATACTTTATGTATGTCCCCCTAAAATTTTCCCGTGAAGTCTTTCAAGTTTTCTAAACTAGCTGACATCTGTAATCTACAATACAACGTCACAGCAAATGGAACGGTTTCACAAATATTGTCAATATGACAATAGATTGGCCAGAGAAACATATTTGCACTTTTACAGATTTATGGATTGGCGGTCTGTCAATGGTTAAAGACTAACTTCACAAAGTCAATAAAATTGCTTAGATCTCAAAATACTATCTTTAACTTTTTTTATTACTATCTTTTATCAAAATACCATCTTTTATCCTAAAATATGTATACTCACCAACTAAACCAATAAAAAAGTAATATGATGCAACTAAATGCAGTTAAAGAAAAATAAAAAATAAAATTTAAGTAAAAATAAAATAACTGCAAAGAAATATCAAAAGTAAAATATTCAATACAAATAATTAAGTTTTTGAATGTCTAACAAATGAAATATTTTGGAAGATTTACAAACCTAACTTTATAGTAACATCTGAGTTTTAAGGCATTTTCAATAACGTCATAACTTGTGCTGGAAGATCTACACAAGTGATTAAAATGTAGTTACTCTTGTTAGAATACTGAATATTTAACAGTCTATCGACTAGGTCTTCTCTAAATGTAAGCATAATATTTTTTTTAACTTTCATAATTACTGCTTTTACTATAAGTGGCAAGTTTTTAAATCCTTTCTGCTGCATTTATAGATTATCAGTCCTAATAACTCCTATTTGTAGGATTTAAGTCCTATTATTATGGATTTTTATCCTAATAAGTCCTTCTATTAAGTTCTATTAACTGTTATTTAAGCAACCAGAATTTTTAACTTCTACATTTACAACATAGTTACAAATAGTATTTATTAACTATGCTAATTTAAAAATCTTTCTACAAGCATAGCTAATTCATTTGTGCTTTCCTTCTACTTTTGGAACTTCTTAAATAATTTATGTTTAAAAACTTCACTGATTTAATTGGTTATGACTGTTTTGTAACAAATTTGTTCAGATGAACATTCAAATTAATTGATTGACATAGGCATGCTAACTCTGAGAATATAAAAAGGAGAGATTCGTTCCAATTATACAAACTTATGCATGACATTGACAAAATAAATATTGGAAAACGTTTTCCACTTATGAAAACTATTTAAGAGGGTATTGCTTTAAGACACTGAGAGCTGCAATTAAGTCAAAATAGAAATGTTCCCTCTTAATAAAAGGGAGCATTTCCTTTTCAACAAAAATTTAGATGCATGGAACTCAGTTTCAATTGAAGGTGTAACAGCCAAAACAGCTTTTAATTAATAGCTGAGTAGCAATTAAACATAACCACTGTAATACTATAACAAATAGAGTGCAAAACAACACATTCACTGGGTATGTTTAACACAGCGTAAACTACTACTATTACTACTACTACGTACTTAACTAACACATTTATATAGTATTTTAAATATGTTATTTAGTTATAAATTGTAAATATAGGTCAATGAAAGCAAGTGATGCTGTTTGATTTTTTGCAATTACTAAAAATAATGTTTTTTATAATCGTTAACAATGCTATTTATAATCTTAAATCCAGATGTCCTTTCTTAAATAAATACTAAAGTAGTTAAAAAAAAAAAAACTAAAATAACTCTAGAACAAATAGAGTGTTTTTGAATAAGAATAGGCGATGTGGCATATTATCAATATATTCTGCAACATATTCGTATTAAAAATAAGTCATCAAAAAAATATATTTTACTAGTTAATTTTATTACATTAAATGCAATTTAGTTTTAAATTTTTTTAAATTGCAGCTAACGATAAAACAAGTTTAAAGTTTTATTTACTTTTTTTAATTACTTTTTCGCATATCTTTCAGTCATCTTGAAAGTGATAATTAATTTTATAAAACGTTTTCCGGCTAAGTAGTATGAATGTTAAGGAACTTGTATTTCACATTGACAAAATCTTGATATTATAGTGATATAATAATATGAGTTTATAAATCAAAACTTACTATACGGACATTAAAAAAGAAAAACTTAATTTTTACTGTGCTTTGTAACTATTATATGAAATTCTGCTATAAATTAAGTTTGTTTCTCAAAGTTATGATATCACTATGATATGTAATATGTATGTATGATGCTTTGTAACTATTATATGTATGTATGATGCTTTATAACTATTATATTAAATTCTGCTATAAATTAAGTTTATTTCTCAAAGTTATGATATCACATGATATCATAGTTAGAGAAGGTTTTGATATCATTTTGACATCACATTGATATCGCGTCTTGACTGGGTAGGGGGAGTGTCCCTCTATGCACACACATGCCACCCCTAATACGATGACCCTGAGTAAGACGAACTTGTATTTTAGGCAACCCTTTTCTGACATCAAAAAATAGGTTTTAGTCGTGCCGTAGCTTATAGGTCGAAGACCCCCTCCCAAAAAAAAGCAAATAAACTCGGTAGGAGGAGGGGGGGGGTAAGGAGTTGAAAGTTCGCATAGAACAGGGGGGGGGGGGAGGATTTTTGGCGTACGTACTTTATAAACGACCCCTAAAAACAAATTTAAATAAAATAATTTTTGATAAAATAATAATTTAATATATTAATAATAAGTTAATTTAATGCAACATTTAAAAAAAAAAAAGATAAAAGCCTGTAAACAAATATAAAAACAAATATAAAGGCTTTTTTGTTGATAAAAAAGAATTAAAAAAAACTCGTTTTAACATCTTTCCGCTTTTAAAATTTTCGCTTTAACGACTCGCTACCTATTTTTTTACGCAAAATGATTTCTTCTACATACTGATGAGAACTGAAAGACCCAGCCCATTGTGCAAGCATTGTAAAAGCTCATATTAATGAATAGTGCTTTGATTTACAAATGTATTGCATGCGTTTTTTTTTTTTTTCTTTTTTTTTTTTTGTAATATAATAAGGTGCACATGCGCTATTTTATTCGGAATTTAACGCGGGTTGAGTTATTTTATGTAGCGCAAGTGGTTATGAAATCTATATGCAAGCAAGCATTTCACCGAACAAGATAATTTCCTAATATCGCAAGTCATTAAGAAATTGATAGGCAGACAAACACATTCTGTGACGTAAGAAAAACCCTACGCTACTCTACCGACAAAAACTTATTTTTGGTCAATAAAGTTGAAGCTAATTAAAACAAATTTGCGCAATCCAACGGTTCAAGTTAAGTTAAATAGTTTATGAATTAATCACGATAATCGTTTATCTATTGCATGTATCAGCATAAAGTTCTTTTATGATGTCTATATAAACTCTCTGGTTTATAATACGGTCTATGTGATAAATTGGATCTAAATTGGAAAAAAAGTTCGATCCCCACCACGTCCCTGGTAGTACCGCGCTCAACTCGTTTCTCCACGCAGCGGCCTTGTTATTCAAGGTTCGTGTTTTGGAGTTATAGAGTTGAGAGAGGGTTATAACCACAAATAAGTAGCCTCCTCGTCTGTAGTGGCCTTCTCGGCCTTGAGGAGGTGAATTAAATAGAAATAGAAAAATCGTCACAACTAAAACATTCCCAAACCATAAAATTTCATCCGCCATATTTAACAGTATTTTACCATATTTAACCATAAAATTTTTTCCGCCATATTTAACCTGTATTGGAGTTGAATTTAAATATATTAAAGTTCACAAATACAAATGGTCTTTAATTATGCCTTTGTTTACAAAAACTAGATTTAATTGCGGGATATGATTCAGTTTCTAAACTTTTGCACAGAAGCCTTTTCAAAAAAAAAATTTAATCTTGAAAAAAAAAAATTATCTTTTAATAAATAATTGATCTAAAACCTAAGAAGTTTAGATTGATGACTTTTATCATAGATCGGAAAGTTATATGTTTTAATATAAGTTTATAAAAGTTAGACTTTTTTAAAGTTTAAGAATACAAAACTTAAATCTTAAAATTTTTTTTTTAAACTCTACATTAAAAATGTTTAAAAAATTATTGCTTATTTTATCTGATTATAAATTATACAATTTTTTTTATTTATTTAATTTATGTGAAAAAGGGAAGAAGCTTCTTATTCACACAAACCATAAATCACCCAAAAAACTAAATTTGCTATAAAACACTAATCATATACACTCCCAGGAAAAAGAGTTTTATAGAATTATGAATATTATAAATATATGAATAAGCATATAACTTATTCTATAGAATCTGTTAATTTTTATAGGAATTCTTAAAAAACTTTTTTTCTATAGAAAAAAAAAAAACGTTTTATAGCAATTTCTATAGAAATTAATAGACATTCTCTAGAAATTCTGTAGAACTTCTATCGACCATATGTTTCAAAAGTTTATTGAAACTCTATAGAACTTTTTTTCCGGGGCTAATCAACTGTTGTTTTTTTTAAATCAATTATTTTTGTGTTTGAATAAAGTTTAATATCACAATAAGCTTCTGCGTTAATACTGTGTTACTGTTTCGTTAAAAAGACGTGTTGAGATTTTAACTAAAAAGTTATATTAAAGCCTTTAATATAACGCAGTAGCTTGTGATATTAAAAAAGTGTAAAAAAGAAGAACAGTTTGCTTTAATTTAAAGCAAACCATTCTTCTTTTTTACAGGCGAGACCAGTAAAACCTATCATATATAGTTTAGCTAGCTATGTTACAAAAAATACATAAATATTTAAAATTAAAAACATTTGAAAAAATAAATAAACATTTATTTTTTTTTAACGTTGAAAAAATATTATTCAATTTAACTTGTAATACACTTATAATGAACCTATAATATACATTAAAAACATGTGATTATATAGTTAACCTGTTTTTATTTTATTAAATTCTTCATTTTTATATATACTTTCAAACTTAGTAAACGCCTGTAGTGAATGCCACGTAGACGCAACATGTGATGCAGATCACTGTACTTGCAACTTGGGTTTCTTGGGTGATGGAAAATCATGTTACAGTAAGAACTTTTATCATTTTTTTTAGAACATTCAAATAGGAAATTTTTTTAATCCTGATATAAAATGTTACATTAAAAAAAATGCTTCTTATTGAAAAAAGTGTAAGGCGTTTTCAAAATGCAGTTTTTGAAAACGCGTTACACTTTTTCTTATATTATAGTTATATTCATAACATGCATGCATTTATGTTGAGTGACGCATGCTAAACACGAGTATATTTTCACAGTATATATACATTTTTTTCTTTTTATTCTTTATACCATTATATATAATTTATGCGAACATTTTATATAGCTCGTAATACTGTGAAATTAAAAAAATAATTTTTAGAAAATTTAAAAAACATTTTTTTTTTAATTTTGTATTAAATTAAGATTAAATTTATAATAAATTTTTTTTAAATTGTTTTTTATAATTTAGCCTTAATTCGTTAAAACTATGTAGTTAATGTATATTTCAATGTATGAAATACTTTGCTTATTACTATGGAAGTTGTTTAAGTGGCTGTATATACCGCTGTCCTATATTTTAAAATAACACTAAATAAACGTGAAAACAAAGTGTTATCATAGTAGTCGTGAAAACAATGTAATAACATAGTAGTCGTAAAAACATAGTATTATATTAATATTAGCATCATATTATACTACTACTACTAGTATATATATATATATATATATATATATATATATATATATATATATATATATATATATATATATATATATATATATATATAAAGCGTAGAGGGAAAATAAAAGATAAGACTTTGTCATAAGTATCATGTAAAAAGTATTGCTAATACATGAACTATTTAAAACACAATCCGTTCAATTTTTTTAATGTAGTTAAAATACCTAAATGAAACATGCTGATAAACTCCAAAGTTTATGAGTAGTTCATTTTATTTCTATAATACATTCATGAATAAATTTATTTTCTTGCTATATTCAATATTGCTATATTGCTACATTCTGTAGCTATCAAATAATTGAGTTGTTTGAATATTTCCAAGGTTTTTCAATAAATTATTTATTATGACAATTATTCTAATTATTTATTTTAATTAAAAATAAGTTTATGTTAAAAACTCCATTCATTAGTAAATTTGTAATATAAAATAAAATAATGTAGATTATGCGTATATGTTATAGAGTACAGAATAATTTTTTATCCTCTGAAAAGATTTTATTCAAAATGTTATTGTCGATTGGTGTCATTCTTAATTATGAAATTTCTACTGAAATAAATGTGCTATTAATAAATTATATTAAAAAATTAATAATATATGATAATTATAAAAATATGACACTTTTTTTTTTTTATCTAACATATTAATTGTATATTTAAGTTTTTACAATTAGTTGTTACCAGTTTTAAATATTTTGAATGTCGAATAAATCGACTAATATACTGACAATACATTTTTAAAATCGATTTTGAAGTCGATTAAAAGTCGATAAAGTCGAAATATAGGAATAAATTTTTTTCGAAATTAACTCTAGTGGAAAAAAATGAAATAATTTTGATTCGCTTTTTTTTTTAAATACCATATCATTTAATTTATAATTAGTATTTATTTATTATTTGTAGTAGTGGTATTATTATTTGCAGTATTATATTATTATTATTAGTAGTATTTAATTCATTATTAGCATTGGTGGAAAAAAGTTATGTAAAAAGTACAACTATTGAAGAATTGTTAACGGGACAATTTTTCACCAGGTCTTGATAATTTTGGGACCCCCTTAAGTTCTTGCTAAATATCAGAAAGTCTATGGTATATATATATATATATATATATATATATATATATATATATATATATATATATATATATATATATATATATATATATATATATATATATATATATATATATATATATATATATATATTATATATATATATATATATATATATGTTTTTTCTTTTTTTTGTTATTACTATTTTTTTTATTTGTCATTAAAAAAAAAGAATACAATGCCGTGTTATATAAATAAAATCTACATGACCGGGGCTAAAAGAAGACAATATCTGTCTTATCACTACATCATATATCAAGCCTGTAGGAACAGAAATTATATGGGGGGGGGGGGCAGTGCTATCCCGAAATAGTTTTAAGGACCTTTTTTTTTTTCGAGTTATTTTTTTAGTTGATTTTGTTCAATATTATTTTAAAATTATTGGGGGGGGGGGGGCAAATGCTCCTGCTGCCCCCAGGTAGCTAAGGGCCTATATATATATATATATATATATATATATATATATATATATATATATATATATATATATATATATATATATATATATATATATATATATATATATATCTATATATATATATGTATATATATATATATATATATATATATATATATATATATATATATATATATATATATATATATATATATATATATATATATATATATATATATATATATATATATATATATATATATACCTACAAATATCATTTTCCATAGAAAATTAATAAACAAAATAAAAGACTGCAAATAAAAAAACTTTAAACTATTTTTTTTTTTTGAAATAAACATTTTAGGTGTATAATAGGTTTTTTTTATTTAAAACTTATTTAAAAATTTATTGAAGAACCATGTGTGTTTGTCTTTTGTGTATTTACGCTAAATCACACCTCCTAAAGTCTACCATGACAATGCTACTACTAACTACTCCAAATTATTTCTTACTTAGGAGGAAAAAAATTGAAGTAAGCACTTTTTCGTTTTTAGGGAATGGCTAAATACTGGCGAGTCCCCTGCGATTGTTTGTAAAAAATACAACATCTTGATTGCAGTCTTACGATCAGAACTTATGATAGATGTTGTTATAATAAAAATAAATGTTTGTGTATATAAATAAAGAAAATATTGTTTTTTTGAAGTGATGTTAAAAATTAAATTAGAAATAAATGATAAATAATCAATAGGGATTTAGGCGTTTTTTAACTTTGAATGACACTTCTATTATCCAGGAATGAATACAAATATTTTTACCCAGAAATGATTACAAATATTTCTAAAATTCAATTTTTTACAATCAGTTATTTAAATAACCGATTGTAAAAAATTGAATTAATAAGTTAGCTGTTGAAATAAAATTAATTGTAATAGTTAACACAACACAACAAAATCTAAAAAATATTATAAAGTTGCTAATAGAGTTAAGTAAGTCAACATATTTCTAAACTATCTTAAACATTAAAATAATACTCATTTTCAGTTATATGTTTAGTTTGCAAATCATTTTCAAAGCAGTAAAACAATTTATAAATTACGCTGTTATTCATTATCTTACCCCTTGTTTTTTATTTTTGATGAAACGGAAAACAAATTAAATAGTGCTGAATAATAAATTATTTATGCAATAGTTAACACAACACAACAAAATCTAAAAAATATTTTCTTTAATGAATAAAAAAATATTTGCTTTAATGAGGTTGAAAAATTATAAATTGTAATATAATGTAATTATTTTTTATTTATTTAAATTATTTTTTACAATTAAAACGTTGATAACGGAAAGATTGTTGAACTATAACTACGATTTTAATTACGTAATGACAATTTACCCCTCATTTTGTTGTCCTATAACAAAATGAGATGTAAGTTCAGTATTACTTAATGCTACATCAAAAAATTCAGTTTTAAAATGTAATGGAACAATTAGAGACTTATTTGCAATGAGTTAAAAACTTTTCTAGTTTTACCAAATTTTAGATAATGATTGAAGAGAAGTTAATTACAATAAGGAGTTAAAAAATTTACTAGTTTTAGTAGATTTTTGTTTATAATTAAAACTCACTTTTATAACCTTTTTTAATACTGAATTCAATTCTGCAAATTTACTTCTGGAAGTTTAAAGGCGATAAAACATGAAATCAATTGAGTCATTGATTGCATTTATTAATAAAGTGATTCTCTTAACTATCCCACATGGGTATATTGTATTAAACATTAAGTTCACATTTGTCATATGGTTTACACGAGGAAACATTGTATGATCTATTTGTTTGTCTTGCAATTTTCTAAGTTTATCAATTTCAAATTATTGAAAAACATTTTGTACAGTCATCAGGTATGCGCTACCTAACTCTTGTTGGTATTTTCAAAGTTTTTTTTAATTAATGATCGCATATGTCTAAGCAATATATATGATACACCACAATTTAACAAATATTTTGCACTGCTTGCTTTTCTTTGATATATTTTTGACAAGGCACGAGCAACATCCATTTTAATTTTTTTCCTTCTTAGTTTTGAATTTACGCATTTCCAGTTTTTAGAAAAATAAGAAATATAATTGTTGGTGTTAACTGTTTACAAAATCCTTAATCAAATTGCATATGAAGAAAAGATAAAATAGATAATGTCTATTGCTGACTTTTAGAGCAACTGTTGCACTTTGAGACGGATATTCAAACCGTCTTCTGGAATGATATTCTTGATGAAGTTAATGCAACCATCAAGATGTTATAGGATTCTAAAGTCTCAGCTCGGCAGTTGCAGAAATAAAATCTCTGAAAACGTTTGCTGAGGTCATACAAAATTAATTTATAGAGTATGAAATTAAAGCTCTCAGGAAATCTGGAACAGCAGAATACGTGGTGAGAAGAAAACTCTAACGCAACGTAAGACTTATTCCACTTAATTTATCTCATCATACACAGATGTAACCGATATAGAGCAAATCAAAGCAATTTCAAATTAACATTTTTTTAACAAACATTGATTAGTTTATCAGTGCTTAGAACATCATCTTGCAATCTTATTTTGTTATGATTTAATATGGCTTCCTTCGCAAACACGATACTTTGACAAAAACTGAGAGCAGCATTTAATCTTGTTGGATCTTTAAAGTCAACGTTGATATATATCTCAGAAATTAGCTCGTGAACTTGTTGATGCATTCAAGGATAAAAAAGATTTAGAAGTCTTTTTATAGAACTTTTTTAAAAAACGAGTCTAGAGATCAC